GCCCTCCTAGAAATTAGGCTCTCAGAGAAGATAATTCTTCGATATTCCAAATTCCAGAGTTAAGTATAGGGAAGAGAGGCATCCTTGACGTTGGGCACAGTAATTCAAAGTTTCAAAGACTTTACAAACATCACCTACACCTCTCCATTGCCTGAGGTATATAACCCTAGAAAACAAAGAATTAACCCAGAAAAATCCCAAAAGGTCACTGAGGCTAGACAAGTTACAGAGTAAGCTCATGTAGGTCTCCTTAGGAGCACACCATGAAACTTGTTTTGACAATGCTTTCTTTGGTGTTGTCGAGGAAGTTTCCACAAAAATCCACTGTCCAGGATCCAGGCTTGTCAGGCTTCTGAACAGTAGGTGGGAGGAGCAAGGCCAGACCTTGTGAGGATCCTTTTTTGCTACTACTTTAAGCTAAGTCTAAAAACAGTGATGAGACATAAAGCAGTTCATGTATCATTAGAACTATCCACTTTTGCTGCTCCCTTTCTCTGTTTTCCCGTCAGTTTAAGTAGACGTCTGCTTTGACATAGCAGTTAGTTTGCATGTATCTTATAGAAACAGTTATCATTGACTCTGGGGCTCAGGTGCGGGGGGGATAGGAGGAGCAAGGGGCGGCCTTCATGGAAGAAAATAAGGCCTTGGGCATTGTGTAACAGCTGAGACTAGCAAGCTTTGTTGTCTAGGATTCGAAGTCGTCTAGCTACATGCTGGCTTCTGCGGCAGAGGACCCCCCCACACACACACACACAGAATGAATGGCATCCTATTTCAATTATGCTTAGTGCAGCAACCCTCTTCAAGCAGCTAGCTCAGAGCACCTGATGCAGCTTAAGCCACTATGATCACACGGACAGCACGTTACCAGGGGCCTCGAGGAAAATGGGAATGTGGACTCTCTTTTTCAAGCAGATGCTGTATAGGTCTGGATGACAATAGGAAAGTGCCAGCCAAGTTCTGATGGGCACAATTCAAAGAAACGGAAATAATTTCATTTGATGGATCTTCCCCACAGTCTCTATGCATATTGATCTGGCTTAAATTAATCTGTTTAGGTCCACAAGCCATCACCTCAGTGATTTGAGTCACGGTACAGAATGATGGTGACAGACTAAATCTCACTGATAGTATCACCACCAACTACTCTCTTTGTCCCTGTACCTTCTGAATAAAAACCAGTGGATTCTTCTATGTGTCATTCATTTTGGATTCTTTCCTTCTTTATCAATACCTTTAGTATAATATGGCAAATAGCATAGTATGATTGCCCCAGAGAGCGGGCCATATTCATTGCACTAGTCAACAGGAATCTCTGAGATAATAGAAACATTCTATGTCTGTGCTGTTCTGTTTAGCAGTCACTGACTACATGTGGATTTTAAACACTGGCAATATGTCCAGTGTTTAAAAAGCATTACATTTTTATTTCATTTATCTTCATTATTTTAAATAGTCACACAGAACTAGTGGGTACTATATAAAATAGTGTAAGCCTAGATCTCAGAGAGGCGCATACTGAAATAGAGCAGGAACAATCTAATGAAAGAGAAGCAATGAGCCATAAGGTATTTTAAATTAAGAATAAGATCCGTGGTTCCAATACCACTGCCACTAGATTGCTTCACCCTCATTAGATTCAACATCCCCATCTTTGACTTGAAACATTGGACTAATACAAGAATTCTCAAAGTGATAGCTTGGAATACATGTATATCATGAGAGATTTTAACATTATACATGAATGTCTTCCAGGGATAGGAAGTTAGAAAGACATTTTATCCCAGTTTTCCAGGCAGAATGCAACCATTCTTGTACATACATGCCTATACACTGTATTATTTCCTGGATACATTCTGAATATATTTAATCCATTCTGAATATAGCTGAATCTGTGAACACTGGAAAGATGATTTCTAAGGACTCTTCTTTAAGACAAGCCATGAATTTTTTTTAATCACTGCAGTACCCAAGATATGTTTCCATTTAGGCAGGGAACTGAGTATTTTCAGAACTTCCTGATTCTTCATTTTGAGTTGCAGCGCTAACAACTAAAGTCCATTGTCCGGAATAAAAATTATAGTCAAGGAAGATAAAAATTTTAGGGATCCAGACTCTTTGGAGAAGCCACATGATAAAGTATAGAGAATGTGAGTTTTCTAGATAAAGCAGGTTCAAATCATTGAAGTTATTTTTCTCTAAGTCCATGACTAGAAAATACCAGCAAGAAGGGTGGGGGTCTATCTGGGAACTGTACCAGGGCATTCTGGAGGCATCCTCAGTTTGTAATGCAATATACAAGAAAAAGACTCAGTGTAAGAAATGGATTCACCAAGCCAGGTGGTGGTGGTGCACGCCTTTAATCCCAGCACTTGGGAGGCAGAAGCAGGCGGATCTTTGTGAGTTTGAGACCAGCCTGGTCTACAAGAGCTAGTTCCAGGACAGGCTCCAAAACCACAGAGAAACCATGTCTCGAAACACCAAAAAAAGAAAAGAAAGAAAAAAAGAAAAAAGAAAAGAAATGGATTCACCAAATGACAAAACATTGTGAAGGTCAGGCCTCTTGCTCTGGGAGTAGATTTAGCTAGGTTCATACCAAACCCCCAGCTTTATACCTTTATGTGGGAGGTAGAAGTTCGTAATGGAAGTATGTCTCTTCTTATTACTGGCTGTGCCCAAATCCTATAGAAACGATTCTTGGACCAGATCATCTTGCAATCAAGGTTGGGATCTCAGGCATCCTTATTTGTCCCCCTTTTCTTCTCAACGCTTCTCTTATAGTCACGATTTCTCCTCTCTGGCCTAAGTGCTGATACAAATATGCAAGCTATTATTACTTTGATTTACTGAGCAAGAGTATGATAAATTTTGTATTAAAGGCCTTACTTTTCTAATTAGCGCTTAAATCTGTTCTAGATATGTCATTTTCTATGGTGCCAGAAGCAGATATATAGTAGGTTTTACCACATTTATGCACTGTATTGAATATCAGGTTTGCTTTGTTTTGTCTTTGTTTGTTTGTTTGTTTGTTATTTTTAAAGGATTAGATAAAAATACAGTTTATGGTCTACTCCCAGTGCATCTGCTTGTGATAGATCTCAGAGTTATGACCTTTTCAATTATTTATACTTATCAATATAAGTGCTAGGGAATAGAAAAAAATAACCATTGGATTGCTAGAGGACATTTAAAGTAAGTGTGTCTGTGTGTGTGTGTTTTGTGTGTTTGTGTGTGTGTGTATGTGTGCACCACATGCGCGTGCAGGCATTGCATGCAAAAATGTTCACATATATGTGCATATGTGTGTGGATATGTCAGGAAAATGGTTCTTAAACTGAATTTGGAATTACTGTGGTTGTTTTAAAGAATGTTCTATTTTGCATTCTAACAGCTGCCTGCTAGTATGATTTCCTTTTTTTATAGATGGATAATAGAGTCGTGGACATTACATTATTTATTTAATACTATTACAGGCTCTAACATTTTGCCCTCTATTTTATGCCCCGCTAAAGAAGAAAATCAGTATGTGTTATGGTACATTATCAACTATGAATATCATTCAGAAAACATCTGAGCCACTTTATAGTGTGTGATGGGAAACAAAAATCCTGCTCATGGTTCCCAAGGTGGGGTGATTTGGCAGTCTGAAGATACAGAGGATTATCAAACTGTTTGTAAATGTCATTCTCACCTGGTATGTGAATTCTCAACTGCTGTAAATCTAGTCTCTGAATTTCTACAATGCCATGAATGTGTGGCAATCTTTTTGTCCTGAGAGAACCCTAAGTCCCAATATATAAGTGTGTGAACTAAACCTGGTAGCAACGACCTGAACTTCCAGCTCCTGGGAAGCTGAGACGGAAGAATCACAAATCCAAGGCCTGCTCAGCTTATAGAGTAAATTCAAAGCAAGCCTGATTGGCTTTGTTAAATGCTATTCTCAAAGTAAAAAAGAGGACTTAGGATATTGGGGAATTGATGAGTATACATTAAGCATGAACTATGTTCAGTTCTCAGTGATGAAAAGAATCAACAGAGGAAAAGGACCTGGTTTCCAAACTGGTATACATTTTGTTACCCATTTAGAACCCACAGTTAAATCCAGATCTTCAACAGGTCTTTTGGTCACTTTTTCTATCATAGATACATTTGTATAACTCTTGTTTACAAAGTTCAGAATTTGCCTATAATCTGTAAGCCAGAACTTCTTAATGTCAAATATAGACACATTTATATTGTTGTTTTGGTTACAGCATTCATTATTTGCTTATTACCTGTAGGACAAACCCTATACTTCTTTAATATAATACACATCATCCACTAAAATCAGGCCACAGCTTCTTTATAGCACTGTAGATAGCCTGTTTTTTCATATATGCAATATAAACTATAGGCACACTGATTCTTAGTTTTTCTCTTTTCATTATCCCCATTCTACTCATTTCTGCCTGGTAAAATTCTTACCAGTATTTAAGCTCCAGGTGAAATGCCACCTTTGAGGTAAAGTATTTCCTAACCTCACCATGCAAAAAGACTTTTTTTCCCTCTTCATGGTGCCTCTGTTGGAGTTTTTACTATTCTGGCGCTTTCTAAACTTGTTTGTGGGTGTTTATTTCTTTTCTACAAGACTGGACCAGGGCCTATGCTCTTTATGTTACCTAAAAGCTATTATTTGTCAATGAAGTGTGGAGAATAGATAAATAAAGAGATCAGCCACAGGTGAATGTCCCAGGTATAAATACTGACATCTGCGCTCTGGCAGAGATAATTGAAGGCTATACTTTGGAGAAAACAATGTATGTACTTAGGGGCTCAGCAGGGATGGAGGACAGCTCATTCATTCAACCATTTTTGAATAATCACTTGTCTGTAAGAAACTTAGATTCTACTACCGGAGAGAAAGATTGTGTTTTTGCTCAATCACTTTTCCTAACAGGATAACTATCGTGCGTATTTTTGGTCACTAATAATGAATTCAAATTTCTTTTACTCCTCAATAGCTCGTAAGCTGAAAAAACTTGGAAATCTAAAACTACAGGAGGAAGGAGAAAACTCCAATGCTGGTAGCCCCACTGAGGACCCATGCCAGAAGTTGACAGTATCACATATTGAAGGCTATGAAAGTCAGCCTATCTTTCTTAATGTCCTGGAAGCTATTGAACCAGGAGTGGTGTGTGCTGGACACGACAACAACAAGCCTGATTCCTTTGCTGCCTTGTTAACTAGCCTCAACGAGCTGGGCGAGAGACAGCTTGTGCATGTGGTCAAGTGGGCCAAGGCCTTGCCTGGTAAGAAAAAAAAATGAGCATGTGGGATAAGGGATAATATATTTATTGAATGGTTTTTTGGGCCAGATACTCATTATCTCAGACAGTACTCAACGCCACACTGTAGATAAATGGTTGTCATAGAAAAGGTCTCACCTTAAACATTGCAGAAACTGAGACTGAGAAAGCAAGAGGAAAGATATCATAGCCATGTCCTCTATGACTCCACTGATACACAATAATCATACTTTGTCATTTAACCCCAAATCAAATATTTTATAGCGATAGCTACATAAACCTCAAGGTGTTCTTCTATGTGGAAACAAGTAAGTTCATTCCAGAGGTAGATTTAAGTCTCAGTTATCCCACAGGAATTTTTATATGGTATGGTAGAAAGAAAGTTGAACATCAGAAATCTTGGGTTCTTATGCCTGCGCAAAACCCATTTCTGATCCTTTACCCTTCTGGCTCTGCTTTTTTTCTCTGTACACATCAAGAGCATTCTGGACTAACCTGATTGTAAAATACAGTGGGAGAGGGACTTTTCTGGGTCCCCTGGCGCGTGAGGAATGTGGGCAAGAAACAGAATACGCCATGCAAACAGAGCTGGGGAGTATGGAGTTTTCTTTAGGAAGAGGGTATTCATAGGGTGGGGGGGAGGAGAGATACAGAGACAGAGAGAGGGAAGGGAGAGGTCTAGAGGCGAGAGAAGAGGGAGAGAGAAACAGAGAGCTGCCTCTTCAGAAGAGAGAGGACAACAGAGAGGAGCTTGCCTGAGGAGGGAGAGAGAGATTGAGAGTGGGCAGAGCTTATCTCTTAAAAGTACAGGCTATTGTCTGGCTTCATCCTTCCAGGTGACAGTGAAGGCCAGCATAATTCTAATACTGTTAGCTTTTAAACTTCAAGGAACACTTAGTGTTTTTTACAGTACTTTAGAAATCATAATGGGAAGAAAAGTTAGGTCAAGGTGAAAGAATTACCCAGTGATCATCTTCCTTCTCTAAGATACCTTCAGTAAGAAATGGGAACTCACTTCCTTACTAGAGCATTTGTTATTTCAACACACCTTATTTTTTAACTATAATAGATTAGGGAAGCTTTAGGTGGCTTCTAACTATGGACTCACAAACATTCCTTTAGTAAACAAATTGCTTCTTGCTTAAAAAGCATTTTGCACAGATACAAGTGATCCACTCCATTCATTTAAGCCAGAATTTCTGTCCATCTTTACCACCTCCCCACATCATCTCCCTCAGTACTACTTTCAACCAAGCCATAAGCTTCTAGTCACTGGCACACAGTCTTGTAGCTATTGGAAATTCATTTTGACAGGCAACGAAGCATATGCTCTTTAAAGACTCTCCCAATCCTGAGATGAAATGATTCACAGATTCTTTTGAAATTGCAACAACCGAGTCTCTTCCTCTGAAGTCAAAGATTAACTCACCTTTTAATGAAAGCTGCTATTCATTATAGGGAAAAAAAAAAGGAATTGTCTAATCGGTATACCATAAGAATTCCATATGAAGTAGTCACCTGTTCCTCTGTTTTACACAGAATTAAATTCTGACAAGAGTTATGATTATCTTATAGCTAAAGACAAAAATACATGTGTACATACATAAAACAAATTAGTATAACTTGAGCCCAGGGCCCCCTAATTCCAAACTACCTCCAAGCTATGAACTCTAGCTATTGTGTATAATGGCTCTCTGTTTCTGTTATTCTTGGCTTTACATTGAGGGCTTGAAACCCCCTGGAAGGCCATTTGAATCATGTGATGGATTTTCTACTTTTGAAAAGTATTCATTTTGGCTGTCAAGAACTCATTTTGTATTTCTAACTCACAAGGCCTCAGTCACAGCTTCGAGAACTTCCCTACTACTTTCTCATATCAGAAAACAGAGTTTAAGTAGCCAATAAGATTACTGGGCAGGAAGCCCAAGGACTGTGGATGGATATGCACTGTGCCAAAACTTGAGAGTTCACACGGGGAAGAAGAATACAAACAAGAAAAAAAGACATTATTATCATTTATCCAGCTGGATGTCTTGATGCCATTTTTAATGGAGATTCTCAATTTCCAAATATTTAACATGTCTCATTTTATTGGATTCACAAGCTTTCCCTATATTTGCGTCTCAAAAATGATCCCTGTTATTCTCTCCCACATACCACAGCTCGAAGAAATTAACTGAATTATTATACTAGTTACTTAAAAATGGAGCCAGAGCTTGAGCTCAGACTTTGAATTCTAATTTGATGGCCATAGAAATAATCTAGCTCAAATGACCATGGCAGAATTTCTTTTACCTGGAAATACGAGCTGTTCATGACTCAACCCTCAGCATGGGAAACTTTCCTGTCCATTAACAAATCTTCAAGCCAAAATCAGTTTAACATCTTTCTTTCCAAAATAAATGAACTCTGACACTGAATCATTTAGAAGAATAGCTCCTAAAAGGAGCTGATTACTGCATTCATAAGAATGACTATTCAAATTGTCCATAATCACCTACTAGTTCAAGTAATTTGCACTTTCAATATTTGAGTTGCTCTCCTATACAAGAACCTGGTCAGATGAAATTTGTTGAACATTTTCTGTGATAATGATAGCACCCTGAACATTTCTCATAAGGTGCCTGGCACACTAATAATTATAATTAAAAATTGGAGACACTTGAATCAATTGTATATACACAGCATATTTAGAATCAGATTGACCCGGATTGGAATCTTAGCTATGGCTTGATATATACTCTTGAGTAAAATCACAGGTATTTGAGCCGCTTTTTTGTCAGTTTTTGAGATGCTAGAACACTTTGAGAACTGTCATCAACATGGAGTTTATGTCTAAAGAGTACAGGGGCTGAAACACAGTACCTACTCTCTAGATAATAGCTTATAATTATGATGATTGAGTGCCAGCACTAGAAATTGCATTAAGCTCAATCTAACTTGCCGCCAGTCTTCTTTTGATCTTGACCTCAGGTTTGAACTGTCTAAAGAGAAAACAAGGAAACATCATCCACTCCTTATTGGTTGGGTCTCAAAACCTTAGCATAAATCCTTGTATTTCACCAGAACAGCCTAACAATTACCTGAGACTGCAGTTTCCTCTGTCTTCCCACATTTTCCATGTGTCTGAACAGGCTACTTCAAAATCTATGCATTAAAAACAGTCAGGTATTGCAAACTGAATGCAGCTATAATGGAAAATTGGTGTTCTACATCGTTCATATATGCAAAGGTATTATGTCTGAGTGATAAGTGGCTCAAAGTACTCTTAGTATAGCAACCTAACTGAAATGTTCCCCTTTCACCTTTTTGTTAGTTCTCTGCTGTTGAAGAATTAGGGGGAGAGCATCTGTATAGTTTCTTTGATACCTACACAGTTTAATACTTCCCCTTCCGCATACCTTCAGATTCACAAGAACATTCACATCAGAAGATCAAAGCTTACCAATCAGTGTTTTGTTTTTCCTTCCTACTGCATCACACCACAGACGTTCAGCATTTAACTTTCAGGACTCGTTCCCCATGTGAACCTTAACTGTTGCCTCTTAACCTTGACTTACCTGGCCTCTTGTCTTCTATGGGGAAGCATCAGATCCAGGGATTCTATACTATAGAAGGTTTCTAGGAGAGAAATGCTCTGTCATGTGAGGTTCCAGCCGGTCTGTACATTGTCAATACAATGAAGAGAGAAACACTGGCCTGGGCGCTAACATGACAGCCAAGTGTGGTGCCATGATGGATTTTAGAATAGCATACAACTGGGAGACTTGAGATCTAAGACAAAATGAAAATGGAATGGTAGAGTGGGTAGGTGAGTGGACAGAGAGCATTCTGATAGTGAGGACCTCACACTTGAGCCCATGACGAAGAAAGGCAGATGGCCTGCATAATCTCTGAGCTATGACCATCAGCTAATGATTAAAAGAAAGAGTGGAACAAAGAACTCACATTTCTGAATTCCAATTCCAGTTCAGCCATACTGACTGCACGACCATGGGCAAGTCACATAACTGCCCTCATTTTTAGGTTCCACGTTGTTGGTAAAAATAAGTGTCACCATTGTTTGTCATCTGGGGTCATTAGAATCCAATAAAATCAATTCCCAGATGCTTGCTCTAAATTCAAATGAATATTCTTAATGATAATTTTGAATTTGTAGGAGAAAATAGAAGAGGTACTAGTATGGATGAGCTGTAAGGTAACACTTTTAAATTTTTAATCATGGAAAGAATTGAAAAGTTTTGGGAAGCTTGCCCTATATGTTCTTTTTTTTGCCCTATATGTTCTACCTATGTATTAGTACAGATGTAACAGTTGGGAGGCAGTTTCCTGCACTGAAGGAGGGCCATTGGGAGGAAATCAAATACCCATTCTATAAAAATTGAATGAAAAATATTGAGGATCCATACCTCATATGTCTGATTAATGTTTTTCCGGCACCCAGTTAACTACTTAAGCTATGCTCTGTATTAATGATGAATAAGAAGCTAAACCTGAAGTATTATAAAGGAAGAAGATGTGTCCATTTTTAAATCATGATATTGTGAACTGAGTTCTTTAGTTGGCTAAAGCTCCAGGTTCCTTGAAAGGGTAAAATAATAATCATTGGTCCATGCTCTTGGAGAAGCTGGAAAATGCTTCACAGAGGAAGTAGTTTTGGAAAAACACTTGAAGGGTATATGAGTGTTCCATCCTAAGCAAAGACATCTACCTAGGCAGAGAGACCTGAAAAAGCACAGTGCACTCAACAAATTGTAAATTTTAAAGAAGTGAGTGTATCACAATTAATAACAACTCAGAGACAGATACTGGGGCTCTACCTGGAGCTCAGAAAAGCAAAACAGCCAGTCACTGGCTCTTACTTCTACCTCAGTACAAAATGGTGATCCTGACTCCAGAAATCTTCAGAATGAGACAGACTGAGAGCTGTCTCCTCCCATCTTATATTCTTCTCTAGGGCTGGGATTAAAGGTGTGCACCAGTACTTTCTAGTTTCTATGGCTAACTAGTGTGGCTACTGGGATTAAAGGTGTGTGTCACTACGGCCTGGTCTCTCAGGCTAACCAGGGCAGATCTTCAGGCAAGCTTTATTTATAAGAATACAAATGAAATATCATTACAGGTGAGACCTACTTATCAGAAGGCAAGTAACAAGAAATTAGTCTAGTAGTGCAGGTCATACAGAGCCTATTTATGTCTAACACAAGGATATAAAACTAGGAGAATCAGAATTGAGTGGGTGGAACAAAAGGAAGGAAAGTGTGGGGCAGAAAGAGATTCATGGTGGAAAATAGTTTAAGGAGAGTGTAGAGAAAGCCATACCCATTCAACACATTCCATAATTTCAGATATGTATGAGAATCCCCCTCCCAGATGTGACACGGCTGAAATCAGATAGCAACCAGAAGACAGCTTTGTAAAGTGAGAACTGTCTACGTAGGAGAACTGGCAATTAAACTGAATCTTACCAGAGGTGTAATGATCAAGAATGTGGGCATGGGAAACCAGTCTGCTAGATACAGCTCTGTGACTTTGATCAAATTCCCGAGCTTCTCTGTAACTCGTTTATACAAATGCACAGAGTGGGGCTAATAAAAGAACACACACACTATTCCATGTGAAGATGAAATGAGTACTAGAAGTAGAGGGTTCAGAAAAGAGTCAACTCATTTTAGGTAGTGTGAGATTATGAGTCTCTTCCAAATATTTGTACCCTTTCTGATACTATCATGATCTCATTGGAAGCCCTCAGTGAAAGAGAATGGGTTCCCTCAAGAGCCATCAGTGTTGTCCTTTAGGGCACCTCAGTAGCTGTGCGGGGGCCAAATTCTCAGCAAAGCAGAGGCCCAGACGTAATTCAGCCTACCAGTGGCAATCTGAATTTCCCTCTGCCCATTCTTCTCCAGGATTCCGCAACTTGCATGTCGATGACCAGATGGCAGTCATTCAATATTCCTGGATGGGACTGATGGTATTTGCCATGGGTTGGCGGTCCTTCACTAACGTCAACTCTAGGATGCTCTACTTTGCACCTGACCTGGTTTTCAATGAGTAAGTACCCCTGTGACCAGTCTTGTGTCCCTCTGCTACCACTGAAGACTTCTGGCAGTCACTATTTGCTCAACAATTGCTTTCATGTTAAGACTGTGCTCAGTACAAAAAAAAAAAAAAAAAAAAAAAAAAAAAAAAAAAAGCCCATCTCGCTGAGTTCTCATGATAACCTGATATGTTTTCATAGATAGTCATGTCTTTTGGAATGTGGGAGGTTATATGTACTAAAATAAAATGACCCAGATATTTCCCTTTACTTAAATAGATTGAATTTATATCTTCTACCAGCTATATTTATCTTTCATGAATTTGACCAAAAGCTTAGATTTTTAGGATCAGATTATCTGCTAAAGTCTTAGTGCTGCTATTATCCATGTCTTGATCTTTAGACAAGACCCCTTAACCATGGTCCATGGTTGAAAAGAACTTAAAATCTTTACTCCAAGAATGGTAGCTCAAAGAATTCTAGCATTTAAACGACTGAGACAGGAGGATCAGGAGTTCAAGGTTAAATTTACTTGTGTATGATACTCAAAGCGAGCTGCCAGCCTAGGCTGCAAATAACATCACACAAAGAAAAGTGAACAGAACAGAAAGGGTGGGAAAAGGATAGGGAAAGGGAACAAAAAGAAAAGGAAGGGAACAGAATAGCAATCCCATTTTCATGATCTTTCCCCTTCTGATAGTGCTAGTGTTCTCTACATCCGCTATCTGAGGTTTTGCGGTGGCACTATGAATGGAGCTGAACAGAATAAGTTTCCCAAGAACCTTGAGCTCATTTCATTACAGAGAATCCCTTCAGTAGAGGGAGGAATTAAGCTTCCTCATCCTTCAGACCTTTAAATAAAATCCACAGGCTTCTGGTTCCTTAAAACACAGCAGTGTTGTGGGAGGCAGAGTAAGTGTCCCCAGCTGCTCTCTTTCAACCTAGCCAAGCCTGGTAGTCAGAACCTAAGAATAGCCATCAGGACTTTCATTTCCAGATCTTCCAAGAGTTACCTTTGATGCCATCTTCTGGAACAGACATTATAAAGCCTCATACCCATTACTGCTCTTGATAGAATAAACTCAAGCACTGGCTCTGCCTTCCTCAAAGCCCTGAGACCTTTGGGAGTCTGCATAGTGATGAATTTCTAAATAGCCATTTCCTTCTCTGTGATATCCCACCTCAGCTTTGTAGCTAGGTCTTTTATCTCATGAAAAGATACTACAGAGCTTCCAAAAGTATCAGGCTTAGATCTATCAAGCCACAAAAATCCTGAAACAAGGTTTCTTCCCATTTGTAGGAACCAATTGCAATACAGTCATCAGAATCTTTACAAATATCTAGACCAGGGCTTCTCAACATAGATACTGTTGACATTTTGGGATGTTTTCACGTACAAGATGTTATGCAGCTTTGCATAATGCATTATGTTAATATCCCTGGTTGGTACCTGCTTGCTAAATAAGATTTCAGTCATGTTGAGATCCAAACAGACCCCATACATTTCTGCTGTCCACTGGGAATGCAGTACTCCCTAGTTGAAAACTATAATTGCTTGCAACTGAGGCCCAGAGAGACAGAGCCTGGGAATTGAAGCTGAGAAAATCCTTATGCTGCTCTATGGAAGGCCAAAACCCTTTCTTAGTAAAGTTTTCATCGTTCTTTCCTTCTTTGTGGAAATCCCGTGTTATGAGGATAATGGACTTAAATTCGAGCTCTGTAACCATGGGAGAATTGCTGCAGTTCTCCGGTTCACACATCTCTCATTCTTGAATGATAGATAACATAGCAGCACCTTTCTTACACGGCGTTAACTAAGCGCTTACCACATGCCAGGCGCTAGGTTTAGTGTTTCCCAATTTTTACTTTTCCTTTTATCTTGTCTTTTAGCAATGCCCACTTCTGCTCTCTTTTGGAAATCCATCCCTACCCCTTATTTTTACCCCCACTGCCATTCCGCTTTCCTTCCTTTAATTCTCTCCCAACTCTTTCTTCCTGTTTCCTGTTTATTTCCTCTTTGAATTCTTCTCGTTGCTTGTTCCTCTTCTCTCCTACTCATTCCCTATCTTTTCTGTCTCAGGGGCCTACAGCAATATTCTAGGAATCCTTTCTGCCCTGGCCATGATTTAAAACGCTGCAGTGTTGACATCCACAGAGGCGTGCAAATACAATGGAGTCGGGAGCACAGCCAGGTTCCAGGGAAAGCAGGACTTACTCAAATGTCCTCTAGGGTAAAAGAGCTTAGAGCAACACTGTTCTGCTCAATTGACTTGTGATACCATCTAAACACTTCCCTTGTCCAGTTGGATTTCAGCCTGGATTGAATAATTCACCACCTGTTACCTTCCCTCCTTCTCCAGGGCAGCCAAGGTCTCTACAGAGCTCCTTTCTGCCCAGGCAATGATGAGCCTGCTCAACTCTTCATCAGGCTAGTGACTTGGGAACTAGAATATCAAAACACAGCCTTTATAGTTCATCTGGGAGGTCTTTGTCCTCATCACTTAGGCACTTAAAGTTGGTGTCAATTCCCCTTGCTTTCTTCATAAGCTACAAATGAGTGTCCCCCCCCTCTCTTTCTCCCATACACACACACACACTCACACACACAAACACACATGTATGTGCATATGCGCATACACACACACACATACATTTCTCAACTTAAAGGCCTACTAGTTGGAGATAGCATGACTTAACTTGCCATAACCAGACATGGAACAGAGAGGATGCCTCCACCCTGAAGTTTTCTGAGCCTTGGCCTCTTCCCCATATAATTTTTAGGTGATAATGTGATAATCTGTTCACAACTCACTATAAGAAAGCAGCTCACAGATGTTTACAACTCCCAAACCGTAGTAAGGAACAGCCAGTCTTTGCAGGAGTGGGCTCCCCTCTGCAGAGGACTTAGAGACTAGACATTGCAAAACACCCCTAGCACATTTAGAAGTACTGGAACTCATTGTAAAAGGACAATGTGCAACTTATATCTATTGCTAGATGTTTTTTTAAAGAAATGATTCCATTTCTATTGTAGGAAACGGCATGCAGGGGTGTTGACAGGATAAACACCTGTGGCTCCTTGCAAACCCTGGCATTCTCACACTAAGAGCAGATTGCCTGGGAGTCCCTCTGAGAAGTCCTGAAGTGGGCAGGTCCTGGCTCTGCCTGTAGTTGAGATCCTAACACTGTAGTCAGGGAGACCATGTCCCTGCCCCATTGTGTTCATTTGGTCATGTTTTCCTGTCCCTGACTCAGGAAACAGAAAGGAAATGCAGGCCTGGAAATTCCATGTGCTAAACCACATCCTGACCAGAGAAGATGAGCCTTTATCTGGGTATCAGAAGTTTGGGGGACGGGGAGAACAGGACAATCCCTTGTCACTGAAGTCCTCGCAAGACAAATAAGCCAGCTTTTCTTGGAGAATCGCAGGAGAGTGGGCCTCCAAGGAGCATTCCTTGAATGCTGGTTGAATGTGTCCCCTCGTTTCTCCTTTTCATTTATATGTCTGTCTATTGCTTAGGTACCGCATGCACAAGTCTCGGATGTACAGCCAGTGTGTGCGCATGAGGCAACTGTCTCAAGAATTCGGATGGCTCCAGATAACCCCCCAGGAATTCCTGTGCATGAAAGCCCTGCTACTCTTCAGCATTAGTAAGTCCTTGGGTCTATAGAGGATGCCAGTGGGAGCACAGAGGCACCAGGGGACCTACACTTTCCATTAAATTGTTATTAGGGAGTATGCAGCTCCTAGATTATTCCCCTTCTCTCTCCCTCCCTCCACCCTCCACATCCCTGCAGCATCCTTTCTCCTTAAAAGACCAATTTCGTGTGGAGAGATCAGTTTCATGGATAGAATTCAGCCTCTACCAGATTCAATATTCTCATTCTGTCACTGAAATAAGGCCTTTAAAGAAGTTGTAACAGGCCTCTGAGATAGCCGGTAGTCTCTATTGTAGGAATAGGCTTGAGCCACCTTGCATTCCTTGCAGAGGAGTAGAGCAGGAGGGATCACTTCCTAGAGGATATTTCCTCTTTAGCAACCATAGGAGGCGGATGGAAACAATGGAGACAGGCTTGCTTGACAGTCAAGGAAGCTTTCTTTAATGTCTCCTCTAAGCAGAGTGTAATGGGGAAGAATGGAGGCATTTGGTATTTGATAAGACAGGTTCCTTGAGTGTCTAAATCACAGCTGGATGGAGAGCAAAAAGGTTTGGGGCCTGAGAAATGGGTGCATGTACAAACTAGTCAAAAAAAAAAAAAGAGTTCAGCCTATTTTATCTAACTCCTCCGTGTTAAGTACAGAAAATCATTTACTTTGAAGGCCCCAGGCACACCGACTTCAACTGATAGAAAGCCAAATAGATGCTTCCCTTGGCGTGGGGGTGGAAGATCAAGTTTGTGGTCAGAAAACTTGGTGCTTTGTCTAATGCTCCTTCGTGGGCATGCTTCCCCTCCCCATTCTGTCTTCATCCCACATCAGTTCCAGTGGATGGGCTGAAAAATCAAAAATTCTTTGATGAACTTCGAATGAACTACATCAAGGAACTCGATCGTATCATTGCCTGCAAAAGAAAGAATCCCACATCCTGCTCAAGGCGCTTCTACCAGCTCACCAAGCTCCTGGATTCCGTGCAGCCTGTAAGCAAACTCCAGAGGGTGCTTTATCAGGGAGAGCAGCCTGATAGAGCGCAGTGATAATGGGCTCCTCTAGGGTCTGGCACCACCTGTTGGGAGGTACTTCCATTTGCCTCTGGCTTTGAGTATGATCCAAGAAGAAAATGCAATGGAGAAGAAAGAAACACAGGTCACAATGTCCCAGCTGGAAGTTGTGAAAGGGGTGGAGGAGTAGAGTACTGAGAAGCTGGGTCTTAGGGAAGAAGCTTAAGGCAGATGAATTTTCCAGGCAGACAAAACAGGCATAAATATTTTTCTTTCCTCCTTTCCTTGAGTCATGTACATGGGAGTTGTGTGTGTGTGTGTGTGTGTGTGTGTGTGTGTGTAGAAGGAAGAAGAAGGAGAGAGAGATAGTGGGAAGGAGGAAGGTAGAAAGACAGAGAAAAAGATTGAAACTGTGTGTTTGTGTGTGTATATCTGTGTGTGTGTGAGAGAGAGAGTGTGTGGTGTGTGTGTGTGTGTGTGTGTGTAATGGAGGAGAGGAAAAGAGGAACACTCAGTCCTAAGTCAGAGGACTTGAAATGGTATAAATGATCTGTAGGAGCCCTGGAGATCATTTTTCAAACACACAAATGGGTAGGTACACATACATTAATGTGCGCACATGCACACACACATACATACACACACACTCACTGAACAGGATCAAGGCTAGGCCTTGGGACAAAATGCTAAAGGTACTGGCATTCAGGGTGGGAGGAGAGCTGGGCAGGAGCCAAGTTTTTATTGCCCATGTTTGTTCTGTCTCTTACTATCCCTACAGATTGCAAGAGAGCTGCATCAGTTCACTTTTGACCTGCTAATCAAGTCCCACATGGTGAGCGTGGACTTTCCTGAAATGATGGCGGAGATCATCTCTGTGCAAGTGCCCAAGATCCTTTCTGGGAAAGTCAAGCCCATCTATTTCCACGCGCAGTGAAGATTTGGAAACCTTCGTAGTCAAATGCACCTTGTTCCCTTTTTTCAGATGTCTTCTGCGCTACTTCCCTGCAGTGCCTTGGGGGAAATTCCTCTGCTGATGTACAGTCTGTCATGAATACTCCTCGGTGATATTTCCTGGGCTTTCTTCTTTCCTTTCCTTCTTCCCTCCCTCTCTTACTCTCCCATGGCACATGTGAAATCTGCTGCCTGTTGTGGCTTCTGCTGGTGTTTTGAGTTGTGTTGTATTTCTTTGACTTTGTGGTGACCCTTGTGTGGCCCTGTGTCATTTGTGCTTTGTTTCCAGCCCTGTGCTGTGTGCCAACCACACAAAGGTTTACTTGCCTTATGCCGTGTCAAGTTCAGGGAGCTCTAAGTATCTGGGGAAGAGACAGACATAGAAAATAAAAAGCCAAAACAGCATGCTAGGGTTATTTCTTCACAATAAATAAATAAACACAAACGATTCTCAAAGAAACCAACAAGTAACTAGAAGAAAGTAAAAATCCCAGGTACATGAGTGGCTCTCTTTGTTCATCCTGTCTCTCTGTGGGAACTTCAGTTGTTGCTAATGGCTGTCGGCATCAAAGAGTAGGATGACCCCAAAGCTTGCTGGTAGGATAGAGAGAAAATAGGACAAGGAGAGTGGATGGATAACCATTACTTCCCCAGAGCCTTTGTCCCTGAGTGCTAGAGTGCTCAGTTGCAGTGCAGTTCATTGTACCGAAATGTGCTTCGTGTCTAAAAACTTGTCTGCATGCAAATACCTCCTCCTTCAAAGTCTTTTCTCTCTTAACCTCTGCTTCCACCCTCAACTGACTTTCAATAGGTTTTTCTTAGAGCTTTGAACTAAATGTTCTCTTTAGCCAAAACTTTGGCCACTTCCACTGAAGTTAGGTCAGTGAGAAGAAAGCAGAGAAATCTGACTCTTTGGAAGGCTCCATTCAGATCTATGGCCACATTTCTATGTGGGAGCCATAGAGGAGTTTGAGGGCTGGAGTCAGAGGAAAGGGAGTCCTTTAGGGACAGGAAATGGTTGATCCCTTAGTGCAACCACCGTTTCCTCCACTTTTAAAGGACCTATAGACTCCTTGCAGCCACCTTCTCACTCCACAGTTCTTCAGTGTACGGTGGGCCTGAACTTCACTCTAATGCATTTAAGCTATGGTGGTAAAGCTTGGTCACTTCTTTGGACATATTTGTAGACACTGCTAAGGTCTCCCTTCCATCACCACCATGAAGCCTAGCAGACCAAGAGCCACGGCATCTTTGTTTAGATGCCAACAGTATCAAAGACATCTCACTCAATGTCTTTCATCAACAGTCAGATTTCTGGAGCCCTTAGACAATTTGAGAGAAATCATCAAAGGGACCAGACAAACTGGGCAGCTTGCCCTTGTCCTCCAGAGACAACATACAACATCAGGTGGAGAAATGTCAAATTTCCTCCTCAGACTGATGAAAGAGGCTACTCAGACCATGGTGGAGGAGAAAACTAAGGAACCAGGCTGGGTAAATGAAGATAGTAGAACCAGAGAGCATAAAACGCTCTCCTTTTCATCCATCATACTTACTCTCCGATATACTCACATGGGAAGAAGAGAGGAGGCCAGAAGAGAATGCTGACTGCCAAAGACTTCTGAGGCAAAGGCTAAAGTCAAACGAACACCACCTGGCTAGGTGGGCACCGGTTTGCTCATCCTCCTCTATTGAAGTTGCTGGGTTGACCTTGGGCAAGGTCACTCAGATTCTCCACCAGAGTGATTGCCTCTCAGCCAGAGGGTGCAGGACCACTGAGACATTCGATAGAACTGTGACTCCCATTGGACAGATCTGTGTCTGGTGTGGCAACAAACAGACTACACCCACAAACTCAGGGCATGCCCTGGGTCACTGGTTTCATGTAGTCTGTTGGCACCTTACTTTTTCTGTGGACTCTGCTCCTCAATCTCGAGTGCAGGAGGAATTCCCACCTACTCATGCATTTTTACAATTCCTCCTCACTCAGCTCTTCACTTTACTGCTGAGCTTAAGAAATCAAGGGCAGCCCACCAGCTGCCCATGTTAGTTGGTATATTAAGTTGATTGAGAAGATAGTGTCTGAGTGACACAATATGATACACATGAGCTTCCTTCCCTGATTTCTGTGTTGATATTAATAGCATAACAAACTTGCAAAACAACTTCTTTAAATAACAAGGGACGGAGAATGTAAGATCGGTGATATGACAGTCCGACCCTACTGGACTAAAGGTGAAGCTGACTGTTTCCCTTTTTTGAGCTAGGATAGACAGATTCTGTTTTGCTTTGTGATGACACCATATGGCTTATGTACAGGATCTCTTTTAGCTGTATTTTAAACAGAAGAAAATCACCACTCTTTTCAGTTAAACTAGGTTACATTTTAATAGTTTCTTTACATCTATTTTGAAGCAATTTCCATCTTCAGTGGTATATGGGTTTTGTTATAACATTCTAATATTTGTAAATACCATAGGTTCTTAATTCCATTTCTCAATGAAGTTTTTCATCTTAGAGAGTTCCAGATCATGACTCTTGTCTTTTTGAATGTATGTTTTTGTTTTTGCTTTTTACTTGCAAAAGCCAAAAATCAGTGAAACAGCAGTGCAATTAAAGCAACACCAACTAGATAACTCCAAATTTCCAAGTGGCGAAACTAGAGAAAACAGCCCACACAAGGCCTCATGCCTGCTGTTTCTGCACAGAGATTTGAGTGAGCAATGGAGTCATAGCAAGGCTGTGCACTCCCACACAGACAAAGAAGACATTGAGTTTTGCTTTTTGGATTTTCTGTTTCTTTTCTTTTTTTTTTTTTGCCATCAATGTTCCAGCTACTATGACTGGCAGAAGTCTCATCTTGCAAGCACTCTACTCAGCAGAGTGAGTGCTGCTGGTTCACTGAACAACTGGCCACTGCTCCACTCATCTGGTAAGATGGAAGATGAGGATCACTCACTGGACGAGTCAAGGTGATCATCTCCACAGAGGTTTAGAGTGCTTGATAAGAATGGAATATGAGGATGAGAAAAAGAGGAGCACCATGGAGAAGGCCCATCTGGGCTGGGCAGCAGCTAGCTGCCAAAGTCACGAACTCTGATTTAAAAAAAAAAAAAAGAGAGAGAGAGTCATGTGTCGCTGTCAACTCTCATTCACAGGATAGCTCACTGTGTGTGAACTCTGAGCTGACATGGGAGTTGGCTTCTTTGTTCCATAGATTTCCTATGCCAAGGCAATATTATTGTTCTTGGAAAGTTCATTATTTTTTTTAAATTACCTTACTCTGAGAAAGGGATTTTTTTGAAGGATTCTGTCGTATATCTTTGAAAAACAGAAAATCAGTAATATGTATATTTTTATGTATGCTCACTGGCACTAAAAAAGAAAAAAAGGAGGAAAAAAAAGCTTCACTCTGCTCTTTGGGTAGTTAATTGTCCAGGTTGCGAAATGTACTGATGCTAACATCCTTCTCTGTCCACTCGATGTCTAAATACATATAGGTGTCTATAACAAGATATAGTCAATACACTTTAAGAAAAACGTATGCCCACCATCTGCATAGTTACCTGATACTCCACAAATTACCTGACTTTAAGCTTCAAGCAGCTTCTGTTTGTTTCATTTAGTACAGACGTGGTCTTGCCCCCTTCTTTCTGCTAAATTTGCCGGGGCACAAAGGCCCAAGCCACCCCTTTTGGCCCCCCAAGACCTATGCCAACATCACACTTGAGAAGGTTTTCTAAAGACAACTGGCTTAGTATCCCTGCATGAACCTAGCATGGCCCTGGATAACAAGAGTCTGACTATAATTCTTCTATATTAATTTCCAGGGTAAGAGGTCATTGAGCCAAAAGCATGGTTCTCACACTTGAGAACCATGAATGCTAACCTTCCCAATCAAATCCCCAAACTGAAAGTCAAAAGAAACCATTTAGCATGTGAAGTGTCTTAGACTAAGAAGCTTCTTTCCTGGCTGCCTTTACAGACAGGATTGTTCTCACCACTTATCGCTTTGAAAATCTTTGAGAGTATTTTTTTAAGTAGAAAAGGAGATGAAAGCATTACATTATATAACCAAAGATTGTATTGTATCTGCTAAGATACCAAAATTGTTAAGGGCAGGGAAGGAGCAAGCATTAGTGCCTCTTTGGTAAACGATCCAAAGACAGACTGCAGGGCTTTTCTGATGACCTACTTAGAAGACTTTGTGGGGAGGGGCTGTCTCATAATATACATATTTACAAGTGTTGAGGATCATTTGGAAACAATGGGATTATAGCAGCCTTCACTAACTGATTTTATTAGCATAACTAGCTTTCCTTTTTTCTAGTAGCTGCAGAGCAAATTCTTGAAGCTCCATCTTTGCATGGCTGAAAATGGAGCTGGTCTTGGCCACTGTGTTTGCTAGTGCCCATCTTAGCTTATTTGAAGATGTGAAGCCCTTGATGAGAAAGGGTGCATTTAAAAGATTAGATTTTGCACTAGAAGGAGGACAGGCAGAAACCCTCATTTCTGCCCAGTTTGGACAGCACAAAAAGTTCTCTGCAGTTTAAGGCAGAAAGTTGAAATATATTGTAAATGAGTATTTGTATCCATGTTTCAAAACTGAATTATATATATAGATGTAATGTGTTCTGATAGCTTTACCTTTCTCTGCACCTTTATATTTGGTTCCAGGTCATATCTGATGCCATGTACTTGTAAGAGAGGTTGCAGTTACATTTTGGATGCTCTCTCAGAATGGATAAGACACCTGGATTGATCAGATAGTTAATATCTCTTCCCATATTGGGCCTGGTATTCAGGCCTGACAAAGGGGTGGAGGAGGAAAGGGTAGGGTACATGATGTATTGCACTTTACTAGCTGAAGACAGATGAATGTGGAAAGGGTGGTGAAATCTCATTGAAGTCGCCTGGGAATCGCAATAGGGAGAAATCCAGATGTGGGGCCTGGTGCCCACCCAAAAGACTGGCCAGCATCCTCTTTGTGGGATCTGAGCCATTGGGAGAAGGAAGGGTATTTCCTTGATCTTCACCATTCTTGTTAGCGAAGGGCAGTTGCCTGATGTTGGGAACTGGGAGCAAATGCTCCTTCTGTCGCAACAATTCTTTCCCCTGCGATTGAGGTGCTTTTGCTACTGGGTGTCCATGTGCTCTGATTCTGGTTTGGGATATGTTCTGTAAAGATTTTGATAATTGATAATGTATTTTTCTCTGTTAAAATTTGTTAGTGTACTAGAAGTCATATCTCTGTAGGTACAGTTCCATCACTACTTATGAATAGGGGTATTTTTTTCTTCAATTAAGAGTTTGACACTGGGGTCTGTTGCCCAGAGCCTCCTAACCCCCCCCCCAACCATTCAAGGTGAAGGCAGAAAAGCCCACATCTTGCCACTTTTCTTCTGAAATTTCAGCCATGGTAACAAATCACTGGGAATTCTCCTGTCCCTCAAAAGAACAGCCAATCATTGAATTTAGCAGGTGGTGTTTTAGAGCAATGAAACAAAAACCAACAAACCAACAAAACAACCTTTGATCCAACTTCACCATGACCCACTTTAATCAAGTCAGAAAGCAGGTAACGTGTACTAAGTTCAGTATAACAGGGTTCTACTTCTTTCCTTGTTCCATTTGTCTCTTGGCCTTTCTTGGAATTAAAAGAGAAGCTGTGAACGAGCAGCATGGGTAGCCTGGAAGGGTTTCTATGTAAGCTACTCAGTAAGACCGTTGTTCAGCTGCAGATACCATTGGCCAATAATAACTGGACTACACACATATACATTACCCGAAGGAAAATAAACAATTCTGAAATGTTGCTATTTCTCTGCAGGCCTATGGGGTTGTCCTATAAGCCACGTTGGACACTGAGAATAGCCACTATTGGGATCCTCCAGGTTGAAAAAAAAGAGTCCCTTCACCACTCTTAGACACACCATCTGCTTCCCTCTAGACAGAAAGAATAGACATTGATTAAGAAGTGTATGGCAGATGACATCCTTACACTGTCCTTGAGATTAATTTGGCAGTAGGAGAGAATAAACAATGTAACTAGAGATAAGAATTAAATTTTGATGTGGAGAGAGCAAAGAATGAAGGCATTATTCAAAAATTGTTCAAAAGAAACAGATTAATTTTGCTTGGAAAGTCTTTTGATGGGGCTTCAGTTCTCAGAGTGGCACATGGCCTCCACTGGGCAGCAGGACCAGCCCCAAGCGCTAGTGTTCTGTTCTCTTTTTGTGATCTTGGACTCTTTTGTTGCTCTAAATACAATTAAAAGTGGCAGAAACTTGTTTGTTGGAATCCGTGTGTGACTCTTGATTTGTCTCTGCGTCTGGTTTTAGAAATGTCATCCATTGTGTAAAATATTGGCTTGCTGGTCTGCCAGCTAAAACTTGGCCACAGCCCCTGTTGTGGCTGCAGGCTCAAGTTATTGTTAACAAAGAGCCCCGAGAAAAGCTGCTAATGTCCTCTTATCACCATTGTTAATTTGTTAAAACATAAAACAATCTAAAATTTCAGATGAATGTCATCAGAGCTCTTTTCATTAGCTCTTTTTATTGGCTGTCTTTATTGGAGTCAAGAATTGGTATCATGCCCAGTGGCCTTTTATGCTACTTTGATTTTCATATATTTTTAAAAACCCTTAGCCAGGGGTTATAAATTTGCCCTGTCTTAACCTTAGCATAGGATGACCCGAGACCACCAAAATAACAGAGCATCTGTGTTAGGAAACACAGATAGACACCAACACTCCATCGCAACCCTTTGTGAGAAGCCCCACGCTTGGCAGCTCAGAGAAATCTGCACCAAGCTCAGCTACTCACACTCACATGCTGCTTCCTGTAAAAATATGGTGCATCAATACTCAATTTGAATCAAACTTCGGACAAAGAATGGGCATATTTGCAGCCTCACTGTTTGGGGGACCTTACTGTCCTCAACCACTGAAGTATAAACTGAGCCAAACTTCCTTTGTGGTTCTTCAACTCAAGAGCGCTTCCTATAGCATCACAATGCAAATACATATGGGATCTCAAATTGTAGTGTTGATGTTGAGATATGCATGATCCATCAATGAGGTATTCTAGGTACCTTAGGCAGCAATTACAATGTTCCCTCTGCTGCATATCTTCCCATGTAATAAGAGTTGTTACATGCTTCCTGTCTGGCTTGGGTTGAGGATCAGTGAAAACATATGTCACACAGCTGGTGGGCTATTTGTTCTGGCTCTGTTCCCTATTAAAATTCCAGAACCCCTGACAGGGCTCCCACATTGAGCCATTTTTATTATTGTCCACCTCAAAGTACATGGATCTCTTAAATGTTTCCTGATATCAATGCATGAGTTAGAAGAAAGAAATACCAGTAGTTCGTAGGATATGTATTTGTGTGCCTACAATGAAGAAGAGGAATGTGTGGGTGGTTAGTGTACATATATCAGAACTGGTCATTGACCCACCATTACTTAGGATGTCCTCTCTTGCATCTCTAACAGATGACCTAACAACTGCACTACTTGATTTTACTTGCCACTCAGTTCCTGGAAAGGTGGTTAACGTCTACCACAGGATTTTTCCAGAATTGGCAACACCAAATTCAGAGACAAGACACCTAATAGACGTGAAAGAGCCTGCAGAAAGAAGTCCTGTATTGACTTATGGTCGTGCAACTAATGTATATAGATAGACATGATCTAAGCCTACCCATTTAATGATTTAAAGTATGACAATGGAAAACTCACCACCCCTTTCTGGATCTGAATTGACTCATCAGTAAAATAAATGTGTGTTAGAAGATATTTGGAACTACATGAGATATAAAGTCTTTTCTAACCTGAACACTATGGAGACTGCAAATTCCAAAAATACTTTTCACATTCATGACCTAAGATGAAAAGGAAAAGGACTTTCACTTTCCTCAGAACACATTTCTGTAACTTGCATGCCCATAGTTTGTACTCAACAAATATTCAGAGAACAAATGGTGGGAGGCAGAGTCTGAATACAACAGCAGATCCTGTTGACTCCTTGACGGTTGGAAAAGAGCACGAAAGTGAAATCATGTATATATCATGGAGATTATCATACAAATGACAGAGATAGATAGGAGCTAAATAAACCTTGCCATGGTTTCAGTGAGCTCACAGTCTGTTAACATGCCCTAGATTAAACCAGTCCGTGATTGTAATATATGACACCTATCGCCCAACTTTTCCATATCCTTCCACTCAAATAAATAAGGTTGATCTTTAATTTAGAATTCCTAACTTTAAGCCAGGAGGTGATGGTGCATGCCTTTAATCCCAGAACTCAGAAGGCAGGTGCAAGTAGATTTCTGTGAGTTCAAGGCCATCTTGATCTACACAGAGAGTTCCAGGACAGCCAGGGCAACACAGAAAAACCCCGTCTTGGAAAAAGAAACAAACAAAAATTTCCTACTTAAAATGGCCAACTTTAGGGCTAGAAGAGCTTTTAAGCATATTCCAAATTTCCACTTTACAAAGGAAAACTGAGCCAAAGGAAGTAATGGTATTGTGGCCTAGGGCCTGTAGCAAGGGACCATCCTCAGAACCCAGTTCATACTCCACTCACATGCATATGTATGTGGGAAGCATTTCAAGGTGGTGGGACATCCATGAGGACTTACCCTGCCACTGCATGCTTATTTGGAGCCTTAAAAAGGAAGAACGTCAACTTCTTGATATATGGCTCCTACATACACTGACCAAGATTCTCTACCCTAGTTGCTGAACCTACTTTACCTTATACCCATTGCAAGAGGCTTTCTTCACTACCACTGTAAAGGAGGAAGATAGAATTAGAGACACACTTGGTGAGCTCTAACAAGGATGCACAGGAAAGCGAGAGACATAGGGAAGAGGATGGTTTTCTGAGCTAACAGGCAGATATGGGTAGCTTAAGCATCCTAATAATTTTGCCACACTTTAGACCATAACTTCTCACCTCCCTTCAGTTATTAAAATATACATAAAACATCACTACAAAGGATAGGTCATTTCGGTGTTAGACTAACACTGAAAAAGAATCCCATTAACTACAAAGGCTGCAGGGATCTTCACAGGCACATTATCCAATGTTCTCCACAGCCATTGACTTTCAGTTGTTTGAAAATACTTATTTTCAACCATCATTCTGTTTCTTTCCCAAGAATAAGAAAAACACATACCCTGATGGAGATCTGGGTCTCCTGGGGGAAACAAACAAAAACACAGATCATTGTATTTTCACCTAATGGGTGTTATGGCAAGGAGATCACTGGTTTCTGTCATTGTCACAAAGGTACAGTGCCTGCCTTGTCGGGCGGTGAGGTCAAGGAAGACTTTTCAAAGAAATCCAGCCCACACATCTAATTGGATGAAGATGAGCCTGTGAGAGGAGAAAAGAGAATCCTTCTGGGGTGAGAGTCGGCAAGCTTGTAAAGGATAAAAGGGCTTGAGTTGAGATATTAGCAAGAACTGAATAAGAGAATGGCCGGAAGCAATGAAAGTCGAGAACTGAGTCACACACACATACACAAAGCTTTCAGAAAAAAGTGTGACCTGTGTCTCCTGAGTAACAGGGATTCAAAGAAGTCCTTGACAGCATTTGAATTCCCAGACAACTGTCTAATCTAAACTTCACAACATCCTAAGGATGCAGGGAGGTCAGTGATCAACCAGTTTGCAGAGAGGCAAACTGAGGCCTGTGAATGTGATTTGCCCAAAAGCTGGTTATTATGGAATAATTGATATCCTTACATCTAAACCAATAAACACACATTTCCTGATTTCCATTATTATTCTTCTCACATCATGCCAATTTAGCCAACACCTCAGGACCAAATAATGCAAATATTTAAGCGCAAATGTTCATGAGTCTCTGTAATGATAGCACGTTTGCCTGCTACCCCACTTCCACTTGCCTTGGCCTTACCAAGTGACATTGACAACCAGGTTTCCAGATAGTAAAGAAGAAACCCCAAAGGGAAGGATAGTAACATTAACTTCATAAATAGTAAAGGAGGTGGTAAGTCAGCAAAATTGGTTGTGAGATCTCATTTATTCATCTAAATAGGAAATCAGAACATTCTGGAGACATGACAACTTTCTAGATGAGGTACTATCTGACTCTGCCTAGAACTTCATAGGAGATGAAGGTAGCTGGGCAGACAACCAGAGCAGGGAAAGCTTGTGCCTTCTTTCTGGAAAAAAAAAAAAAAAGTCAAAGAAAACAGGAAGAGAAAGAAAGGTGAAAAATGAACCTGGTTGTGGAAAATCTTCACTGTTAAGAACTGTAGAGACCCCAAGAACAATGACAATGGGTTTTTGATCCTACTGTACCTATTGGTTTCATGGGAGCCTAGGCAGTTTAGTGGATGCTAACCTTACTAGACCTGGATGGAGGTGGGTGGTCCTTGGACTTCCCACAGGGCAGGGAACCCTGATTGCTCTTTGGGCTGACGAGGGAGGGGGGACTTGATTGGGGGAGGGGGAGGGAAAGGGGACGTGGCGGTGGGGAAGAGACAGAAATTTTTAATTAATTAATAAAGAAATAAATAAATTAAAAAAAGAACTATAATGGTGATTGTGAAAATCTTCATTTTTAAGAGTTAGAGTTTCTTCTGTAGACCATCCTTTCTCAGGTGCCATGGGTGAAAGATCATGGCCTAATAGATAGTACAGTCTGAGAAGAGTCCCTATGAATTGTGTGTGACACCTGACCCATACCTCACTGAGTGTCTTCCTCTTCCTTCTCTCCAATTTATTTAAGAAACAAAATGTGACTGCAATTGAAATCAAAGCCTTGAAGGGAATAATCTAGGTCTCAACATATTTTTCAAAATTATCTATGAACTTCAATATTTAAATCATTTACATATGCCTTGCCACAGTTCACAACTGATTCCGGGACATCATTTGAAATAACTAGGAAATTTTAATAAAGCTGTAACATGATAGAAGTTAAGCTAAAACTTGTATGAGAATCTAATAGAATATGAGGCAGAGATGGATTAAAGAATAGAATTGATCATAATAATGATAGCAACAACAATAATAAAATATCTGAAAACATTGCTACTACTTTACTTCCACTGTGTGTTATAAGGCTCTTTACAGTATGTGTTATGCAATCATCCTATCAACCATATAAAATGAATAGCGTTACCTTCCTCATTAGACAACCAATCAAAGGCTTTTTCTAGCATAAACTATGATTACTCCTAAACAACACAGCCTGACCTCAAACTCAAGAAGGTGAATCACTCTATCTGTCTTAAAAGGCTGGTTGGTTTCTTTTTTTCAGTGGCTTTTACAAAGAGATTCAAAGAACCCCAAAGCAGACAGTAGCAGCATAAATAGGAGGCAAGACAGATCTATATCAAAATGCAATTGTCTTCTTACCCACATACTTTGAAAATGCCAGTTATATCTGGTATATATGAAGTCATGCTGTCCATACAGCCTTATCCCCAAATTTCATATGACTGTGGCTGGGAACCAAGGCCATTCCTCCTCATTCCTGTCTGATTAGTTTTATGGGGGTATAGCAGTTACCTTAATCTTAAAAGCAAGATTCAGGACTTTACTTTTAAATTTCTAAAACCTGGAATGATCATCTCTTTTTTTTTTTTAAACTTTGAATCTCCCTTTCTAAGCCTAAACCACTAGGTAGATTTGCAGTTACTTGTACAAGCAGCACACTTCCATTTTTACAATTTTGTTATCCCAGTGTCACATAGAACTCATAAAAATCAAACAATAGAAAGAGATCAAAAGAAGCATTGTTAGAAACTAAGTGAAATATAAAAACTGCTATTTTAAAAGTCGTCATTCAACTAATATGTTAGGAAAGAATCCAAAGAAGCCAAAAAATGAAGTGATGTCAAAAATCATATGTAGTATACAAGTATTACAGCAGAATTTTGCCCTTAGAGTTTTACCAGATCTCGGGAGATCCTAAATTTCTGTTTTAGTGATACAAGAAATGGAGACGAGGGCAAGAAAGCTGAGGACCAGAGTCCCTGTGGGAACTGTCTCTGTGATGGCTGGCCAGCCTGCCTAATGAAGCTAGCTGTCTGGGAGAGAGCAGGAGAATCTGCCAAGAGGTGCTTGCTCCTCCTCACATTCAGGGATGATCTGTAGGGTCAGGAGAGGCCATGGTGGGGTGTAGCTATCCAAAGGAGCTATCAAGAAAGGACTCACAGCCCCCCCCCCCATTCCTCCACACCTTGCCCCAGGAACTGAGGTTGCTTGCAGAGACCAAGGCTCACTTTTGTCCCTTCCTCACATTGCACAGCATGAATCCTGCTAGAGTTAGAGGGATCTAGGAACTTCCCCGTTCAATTCAGCACAGCCGAACCAGCAATTTACTCTATAAGCACTCTCTCTTTTCTTCTTTTGTTTTATTTAATTTCCAGTCTTGCATATAACTCATGATGGTTTTTCTTTTGCATATATTGCTCAATTATGTTTGCTTCTCTCCCAGCTTATTATAAAGCATTCTTCAGTAGCATGTCATATATACTATGCCATTTTTCTTTCTCTCACCCTTACCTCCTATTTTTTTAAATCTATAAGTTATACCCTTCCACAGCTCTATCTTTAAAATCTTTGGATACTAAAACTATTCCGATTTTCTGCTACTTTACCAACCTTGTTTTCTGTTTGGTTTTTACTTTTCATGGTATGCTTCCTCTTTATACTTCTCTCCCTCTCTTGATCGTTTTAACTACACTCTGAATTTACTCCATACAAGCCTTGGTAATTTACCATCAAATAATTATTAAAGTGAAAGGGGACACTGCTATTAGTTGGCTAGTATGACATCTGTGTTGTGGTAATATCGAGTATCAGTGATCTCTCAATAATATCCCACTCAAGAAGTAATATAAATTTTACACCAGGTACCTTGAGCTCCGGAACAATACACTCAACATAATCACATCCAAATCTCCTATTAACACTGAAGATACTTCTACTGAAAGAATATAGCAGACAAGATATAATCCAAGCTAAGAAATAACAACAGATATATAAATCCCCGTGAAGCAATTTAAGCAGAATGAAAAACCAGTACAACTCCTCCAAAAAATTATTAATCCTATAATAACATCATCTATTGAGAATAACTTAGGTGAAATTCCAGACAGAGAACTCAGAAGAAGATAATGCAAATGACCATTTCAATTAAACTTTTACTTTAATGTTTGATCTTTTTAAGAGATAGATTGGCCTGGAACAAACTCTATAGTCTAAGTTAACCTTAAACTCACACTGTCTTCCTGACTCAGCCTTCCAAGTGCTCATTTTCATTTTCTTGGTATCTAGTGATGTTGCTAATATCTTCATGCCATTATGTTGGTTATTTATCTATCTTCTTTTGAGTAGTATCTGCCCATTCCCAAATTATATTTGTCTCTTTATTATTGTGTTGCAATAATGAATCAGACCCTTACATTATTTTAGATAGTTTCTCACATTCTGAAGAATATCTTTTTCTTTTCTGTATGACTTCTTTTGATCTGCAAAAGCTTTTCACTTTGAATACGTCCATTGAACTATTTATTGATTGCTGCTTTTGCCTTTAGAGTATTGTCAAGAAACTGTTGCATAAAACAAGACTTAAAAATATTTCACCTATATTTTCCATAAAAATTTTATAATTTTAGTTATGTTTAGTATTTGATTAACTTTCATTAATTTGTATATATTGTGTGTGATAAAGGTTTGTTACTCACTCTTTGCATGCTGATATCTAATTCTCTCAGTACCATATGTGGTAAAGATTCTCCCTTATCCACTATGATAAGTATTCATTTCAAAAATAAATATAATACTTAAAGTAAGAATTTATTTCCAGATTCTCAATTCTTTTCCACTGCATTATCTGTTTCCCATTGCATCAATATCCCATTCTCTTATTACCATAACTCCTTTAGTCTAATGTTGGCTATATAGAAACCGTTCTGCTTCCGTATGAATTTTGGAATCAGCTTATAAATTTCAAGAAAAAGTGTACTGAGAATATTGATAGGAATGTCCACATATTTGAACCTAGGTTTGGGAGCAATGTAATTTTAAAAACATTAAGCCTTCCAGAATAGTTAATGCATTTTCATTTATTTAAGTTTAGTTTTGTTTCTTTCAACAATGTTTTATTGTTTTCATTGTATACTCCTTGAACTTCCTTGTTCAAATTTATTCTTAAGTATTTTACTGGTTTTGATGCTATCAATTTGTATTTCACTGTTTGCTTCCTTATAGCACATTTAACAAGTTTCTTTGTCATTTAGAGATTCTGAAAAATTGGACACTGAACTAGTGGCTTGATCAAATTGAAATTCTAAAGGTTTTGGTCAAACAAAATCTTCCTAAATGTGCCTTTTGTGTATGGAAAAGAGTATTCGGGTTTCTCCCTGCTATGGTAGAAGCCATGATGACCACTATCTAGAGTTACTAGTACATTAAGAGTTGCAAAATGGTAATGTCCTCATCAAACACAGTGGCAAACGCCTATTATTTGAAAACTTGGAAGGTTGAGGACTATATAATGAGACTTTCTCTTTGAAGAACAGTAATATTTTAATCCCATCATTTTTCACATACTAGATAGGATACTCCTACAAAGGGAAAACTGTATTTTAACTGTTCTATTAGTTATTAATTTTATTAATTACTTTTCTCAAGAATATTACCAAACACATGAAAAAATAAACTTAGAGGACTAAGGATTTATGCTGGCTCACAGGTTGAGGATACTTAACTTGTTAAAAAGGAAGGCATATTGGTGGGAGCAACTACTTGCTCACCTGTGAATGGTTAAGAAGGCAGGAAGAAAAGAATGCTGATGCTCAGATGACATTCTCTTTTTGGTCGATCGTTTTATTCAGTCTGTGACCCCAGCTCTTAGGATTGTGCCATTCACATTCAAAGCAGGTCTTGTCATCTCAGTTAATCCTCTCTGGAAACACCCTTAAAGACACAGTCCAAAGTGAGAGTCATTAATGTGCCAAAAGTTTCTTAATGCAATCAAATTGGCATTCAAAATCAGAAATCATATCTACTATTTGAGGACTCAAAATACTGAGGTAAAAAATCCCTCCCTATTGTATAATTTAATTAATAAGGGAAATAGTAACTTCTCACAGGGTTCTAGAATTATAGAACATTCAATTGAAAGACATTTAGATTATTAATAAAATATATTTGTTCAAAGCCATAATAAAGACAGTACCTGACTCAAGTTAGGACTAAAACCCACATCTTTGGCTTCTAAATCTTCTACTTTTTCTAATTTAATATCTTGGGAAAGACAGGTTTATAGCCCGTAGTTGTTCGACTCTGTATGTGTCACAAATAGTAGGTTAGTATCTTCATCTGTTAGACTATCTATTGTCTCTGTCAGTCTGGATATTTTTAGTAATATCTGGAAAATAGTTCTGCTGGTGATTTTAGATGCCTACACTATGTTAAACACAATGTTTGATGCCTTCAGGTATATTTTTCACACAATTTCATAGGCAATTCATATATATATGATTTTCATATATTTTTGGTGAAAATCATACATAGAATCTATTATTATGATTAATGGGTACTATATTTTGAGTTAGAAACAAGCAAATAATAAAATTGGTTTTTATAATATAGCTCCTCAGCTTAGTAACTATTCATTATTTTATTAGATATGCTAGGCATACAAGCAAAATTCGAACATTCACTCATTTATACTTTCAAAAATTCTAATCAAAATTGGAGTCTCGGCCTTTGTGGTAGTTTCTGATATGGTAGAATGAATGAGATGTGGGCTTGGAATGAGCAAGACCCTAGAAAATAGAAAGCAGAAGTACAATGTAGTAATGGCTATAATTCAAGCAAACAAAGTGTTATACAGAGACAACTGTAAAGAGATAATCATCAAGGCTTATTCCAGAAGACGAAATGCTTAGTCTGTCAGAATCCACAGAATATATGAAGCCTGTATGCTTCCAAAGTATTGCAGAAGGAACATGCATACCTGTATAGCTAAAGATCAGTCTAAGGGTCTATCACTTTGTCATCAACCAAGAGCCACCTCAAGGCTTCTATGCTCTTCCAGGACCATAATTTTCTTGCTTTCTCTGTTCAAGGTCTGATAATATCAGTGTATAGCTGAGAAGAAAGAATGTTTTGGGATTCAGTAGGAGACACACTGCAAATATTAACATCTGTTTTCTTCCTTATCAGTGCTTGAGTCTGGCACTCCTCTTTGGGATACTAAATAAAGAAAAGGTCACCTCTTGGATTTCTATGTGGAAAAGTAGCAGACAATGAGGCTTGAGGAAAATGAAGAATATTTGGATGCACAATTTGGAGGAAAAACAAGTCCTTAGAGGAAGTTTGATGAGAAATAACTAAAAACATGAGAGTCTGTGCCACACAAAGTTTGTCCTCTCAGATTAAACTTAAAGTAGGTGGGGTATGAAGGAACAATTTCCTGCCATCCCTTTATCCCATCAGCTAGAATTCCCATTTTTTGCTGGCAACTGTACAATAGTCTCATAGTGAGACTGAGAGACACAAGTGTCTTTAGAGCATCTCCATTTCTACCTTCTGCCGGATCAGGTACAGTATAAGACCCATATCCTTCCCTGTTGAAGTTCCCATCAAAACTTGGTCACACTCATGGCATTACTTGTACCTATCTTCACTGGTTTCAGAGCCAGTCTTCACTGTGTCAGAGAAAATCTTAGCCTTATCTTTCCCATAATAACTGCAAAATAGAAGTGAGTTTCATTCCATTTTTTGGAATACTAAATACAATGCAATATTAAAGACTGCATTGCAATTCTCACTTTTCTCTTTGTTACCACTGTTAACTGAACCAGATAACTGCTGAGTGAGGCTAGGAAATTGGTATAGCCGTCTACCGCTTCAATAAATCCATCATGTTTGTAAGGCTGCTTCTGTTACCTTGAATGCATTAAGTATTGACTATCCATCCAAAATCGCATATGATGTAGCCTAGCAATTCCAACCTGTTCATATGATGCAGGAAAATGATGTTCTACAAAGTGTATGGGTAAAAGGAAGCCCTATTTCATTTTCCTGGAACCCTTATTTCAGGGAGAAGTGTGTGTCGTAGTCATTATGTTTATCTAGTGCATAACTTTGACCTCCTGCCTGATTGATTGCCTTGCCTCATACAGTTCTAAGCATGTGTACCTGAACATACAATCACAACTCCAACTCCCACCTCAGCCTTCCACATCCCAAAGAACATTTCACTCCTGTGTCTCACGAATTTCCCATCCTTTAAAGGTGCATCGCGTACAAATGCAAATGAACTAATTGATAATGCTTTTTTTTTGACCTGCCCTTCTCAGGCTACTACATCTGCTAGATTCTCACTATAGTCATAATAACCTAGGCAATTTCTTCCCCATCAGGCCTATGTCACTGAGATCTTGGAAACCCAGGGAATCCTATATCTGAGTCACAAATAAAAGAGAATTTAACCTCAAAGCAAATCAGAGTCTAATTTCCTCCCCCATCACATACCTTGCTTCTGCGGTTACAATCTAGACTAGAATTAATAAGGTAAGACACGTTTCTCAGGTACAATAACCTTTCCACAGAAAACTCTGACTGACAGATTCTAATTTATAAGCTTTATTCTGTTGCATAGACAAACACCGCCATGCTCACATGCTCAGACTGTATCTTTTGAAGGTTATAGCAGTTATACCTTAAAGTTCTTCATTTTATTGAAAATGGAAGAAAAAAATGTCATACAAATATTTCATTTTGAAGCATAATGATTCCAACACACACCTCTTACTGGAATGATTGCCACCCTTCCACTTGTACCATTATCTGAAAATCAGTCACACAAGGCTCCAGATCCATGCAATGTCTATATTTGGGATCCCAGAGAAAGATATTAAGATTTATTATCTCAATGCTCTTAGAGTATCATCTTACTATATCACATCAACTAAGAACCATGTTTGAATGAAAGTTTAATATTTTAATATGTCATCTATAAACAGAAGCATCCTTACAAATACAGATTTCTAGACTGGAGTTCCTTGTTTGGCAGGCTGGTAGAAGCACCCTGATAACTCTACCTCAGATGGAGTAAATGGTGCCTAGAAACCAAATTATGAAGGGAGAATGACAAGATCATGGTACAAAGGTGGTTTTCTCATGGCAAGGCTTATCAATTACACTTCTGATTTGCAGATGTATTCAGTTTCCCCAAATGTGGGAAACTTGCCTGTATAATTCAGGATAGCGGGAGACTGAGTACACACTTTCCTTTTAATTACAATAAAAAGAATAGGAAAGAAGTAGGTCAATACCTGGGGGAAGGGGGAACCAGGAAAGTGGAACATGCAATTGTAAGAGTAAAGAACCGTTTCCAAATGAGCAGTGAGGTCACTGCCTAAGGGACAGTTGTATCATAAACTCTAGTGGCAATCAAACCTACGAGAGGAAAACATGGTTTGCATTGAGAATAGAAACCGAAAAGCTAAGTGTGGCAATTTGAAAGACAATGACCCCCAAATGGAGTGGCACTCTCTTTAGAGGAATTTGGACTTTGGAAAACAGTGGAATGCTTTAAACAAAGCTTAATGGGCCATGCTAGGCGGAGCATGGAAGACAGTGGTACTGAGGGTGATTTGATGCACTGTCCGGGGCTGAATCAAAAGGTTTCGGAGAAGAAGAATTTTAGTACATTGCCTAGAAATCATTCTTGGGATATTTTGGTGAAGGAAGTGACTCCATTTTGCCCTTGTCTAAAGCATCTGCCTGAAGCTAACGTGAAGTTCTAGATTAATACCTTTTGCAGAAGAAATCTCAAAACATCTAGTAGAGACTCTGTCATGTGTATAATCATGGTAACTCTATGGAAGATATATAACGAAAAGAAGCAAGCTAAGTAAGGAAGACTATTTGAGGAGAAAGGGGGTCCCAGGAAATGAAATGGAGATAAATCCTCTTTTCAAGGAGATAAACAGGTTAAGAAATGGAATAAAGGGAGTGGTGACCTCAGGGCAAGATCCCACTCAGCTAAGTTTCTAACTATGAAAAGGAGTTGAAGAAAAGCTTAGAACTGGGGAGGGGGGGGTTGCAGTGCACACCTTTAATCCCAGCATTGGGAAAGCAGAGGCTGGAGGATCTCTGGGTTTGAGACCAGCCTGGTCTACAGAACAAGTTTCAGGACTTAGGCAGTGAAGGGCAGAAAGCAGGTGAAGAAACAATTAATGAGAGGGTAATGATTGAGCCCGAGTAAACAGCAGAACTTGGCAACTTGGGCCACATCATTCTGGCTTTAGAGTCAAGGAGAGAAGAAAAGAGTTACAGAATAAAGTCCATGAGGTTAGTCATGTGTCAGTCCTGTCCCTGAATGGAGACGTAGTAGAGAGGCCATTGCATGTAGCTACGAAATTGAAGCCTAGATTGCCTTAGAGAACCCAAGATATCAGAGATGCTAGAATTGTGGAATATCTGCTATTAGTAGTAGTAGTTAGGGTGCTACTAACATGGAGTGAAACCAGCCCAAGAGTGTTGCAGTGAATAAAGCTGAAAGGAGTTGGAGATATGGAGAACACTTTGACACCAGCCATGGAAATGCAGACTTTGGATTTGCCCAGCTGGTGGTTTTTTTTTTTTTTCTCTCGCTGTGGTCCAGTATTTCCTTGCTATGCTACCTTCTCTATGTTTTGGAATTGTAATAAATATCTTGTGACACTGTATGTTGGAAGTATGTGATCTGCTTTATTTTTATAGGTGATTACAGTTAAGAGATTGTCATGTATCTCAGAAGAGACTGATATAGACTATGGAGACTTTTGAAGTTAGACTGAATGTATTTTGCAATATGATATGGCTATAACCCTTTGGGGGCCAGAGAGTAGAATGTGATGTTTGAAAGAAAATGGTCTCCAAAGGGAGTGACATTATTAGGAGGTGTGGCCTTATTGGAGAAAGTTTGCCACTATGGGGGTGTGCTTTGAGTTCTTTTTGGCTCAAGCTTTTCTCAATGTGACTATAAGTTGACTTTCCATTGCCTGCAAAGTGTAGCCCTCTCAGCTCCAGCACCACATCTGCCTGCATGCCACCATGCTCCCCACCATGGTAATAATGTACTGAACCTCTGAAACTGTAAGCGAGCCCCCTCAACTAAATGGTTTCATTTATAAGAGTTGCCTTGTTCATGATGGTTCTTCACAGAAAAAAAAAAAGCCCTAACTAAGACAGTAAGACTACCTCCAAAGAGGAGGAATGGAAACACAGACATGGCTTTCATGAACTCTCTACCATGTCTATCAATCATAGTGAGAGACCTGTCTTTCCCATAGGGAAAGCTTTCGTCTATAAAAACTATGGAAAAAGGGAAAGTTGTGCTATGAATAAGAATGTGAGGCTCTAGATGTTGAAGAAACTATGCTGCTGAAGTCTTGGCAAGTGGCTCCCAACCACCCGTAGTTCCAGCCCCAGATGATCTGATGCCCTCTTCCAATCCATAGACACCTGTACTCATATTCGTGTGTGTACATACTCACTCCCAGACATATTTTACAAATACTTGAAAAATAAAATAAATCTTTAAAAAACAAACCTTGGGATTACTGCTGGGGTTGGGTGACTGCTTTCTCTACTAAGTGAATAGGACAGAGACCAGTGAAACTTCTAAAATAAAAGATATGGTAGATCTCAAGGTAGATGTTTGCCAGAGTTACAGCTATTCCCAGAGAAACAGAAAGAAAAAGTCAGGTATAAGTATTTGGGTTGGACATGACACCCCAGCTGCTGAAATCCATATATCCAAAGAGTCTGGGATGTCCGGTTGGAGGTGCCCCAGCACCTGGCATCCTTATACCCAAAGAGTCTGGAAAGTTTGGGTCCAGGCTTCACCCCAGCCTCTGGCCTCCATGTATCCAAGCAGTCTGGAATGTTTGGGTGGAAGTTGCATTCCAAGCCCCCACCCCCAGGGAATTGCCTCAGTCCAGACTCCACCCCCAAGAAAGCCCGCCAAATGGTGGCCACTAGTCAGAGATGCTCAAGACCACTCCCACAGGGTATTTAAACAGCAACTCAGAGAACAAACACATGGTTACCTGGTCTTCCTTCCCCATCTTCTCTCTGAGAGCCTGGAAGGTCACACAGGAGCACTAGTATCCATTAAACCTGGGCTTTTTCTAATTCAGTTTGATTTGGTCTGACTTGGATTATTGCTTCAGCAGAGATGTTCATCAGGACGCAAAAAGACTTTTCATTTAGGATTCCTAAAACAACTGTGAAGTCACCTATTGCTAGCTTTTCTGTCTTCAACACTTCCAATACTGAAGGGAAAAGTGTCCTTGATCTTCATCAAATGGAACCTGTCCCTCTCTGAGTCATCTGGGATTTTTGTCTCAGATCAGTACGCTATCCATGTCTCCCTTTCTTTTCTTTACCTCGGCTCCGTGTCATCAGAATGGATATGGGAACCATCTTTTATGAATCTCTTACATGCTTCCAGACTTTGATCATTTATATCAACATTTATGACTGTGTTGAAGAAAATACATAGCCTTAAACCTAATCATTATCCATTACTAAGTCTTGAACCTGAGGTGCTGAGAATTTATTCAGTATGAAGCATGCATTTGATATGTTTATGGACATTAAACATTAAATAAAACATTAAATTTGGTTTCATTTTTAACCAGAATAAGTTTCTAACCATTCTAAAGACAAGAAAACTGAGTAGAAGGTAGTGAAATCATACAGTGCAACTGATAAGCTGCAGCAAAGTCAGGAGGACTATGACTTTCTAACTCCAAACCCAATTTCCTCGCCATTGGGAGTCCCTGCAGGAAACCTTAGCTTTTTACTTTAATCAAGTTTAAGTGATAAAGTCTCATTCTGGTTCCCTAAATGCATGGACCAGCACTTTGGTAGATATGAGGAAACCATTTCCAGGTGTCACATTCATGTGGGTATACATCGGTTGTCACACTTCTCTCCCAGATGATCATGGAGCCTTATGGATAGCTCCATTTACTATTTCCACTTGAGGTTTCTAGGATCCCTCAAATTGGCCGAGATAGGGCAACTTTCATGGTCTGAAGTGGGCCCCAATGATCAGACACCTTTTCCTTTATAACCATCATGATGACTATCCCCAATTAGCCCAACTCTCACCCTTTTTCTCTGTTTAAGACTGCCTCATGAGAAGACTAACAGAACAGCTCTCAGACTGATTGACGTAAGTGCTGCAGAGAAGGAAAACAACCCCCAATCCTGCTACCATAAAAGCCACAAATGAAACCTTGAGGTCTTCTTACAGTGCCATCCATCATCTTCCCTCTACAAAAAAAAAAAAATATATGAAAAAGAAAAAAAAAGCTAACCAAGATTTCAAATCACATAGGCCAAGGAGGTCAACTATTTTTCTGAAGTTTGGCTACGGTCTTGCCCAAATCTGCACCTTGGAAGGAATGTGAGCCAGTCAGGTTCAAGAGCTCAGCCACAGCTGCTTTGGGAGTCCACAGTTTGTGCCTGGTCCATTCCCTAGCCCTACAGTTTTATTAGCTTCATTTTTATATGCTTTTTAGCTCCCCGAATGCAGCCAAAACCAACATCAAATAACATCAAGGAACACAAGGTCATGACTTCTCCACCCCCTCAGCACTCCACACCCCCCTCCAATGCACTTAGAGGTGGGGTATGCAGAGCAGTGCACCACAATTTTCCCCTTGTCCCTTGTTCAGAGGTCGGGGAAAGGCTGCTGCTGATCTGTGAGCTATTCTTGAGCACTGCTGCCTCAGAACTGACTGTGAGAGATGGTTCAGGTCACCATAACCCAAGGAGTAGAAGGAGGAAAAAGGGAGGGAGGGTGGAAAACCCAGTTAGTAAGCAATCTTCAGATCTCTCCCTCAGGCTAAAAGAGTTAGGCCTAATGCTCCTGCCCAGTACCTGGTAGGAGACAGTTGCAGGAATCAATTCCCGGCCTTTTGATCTCTTCGTTGCCCCGCGGACTCCCTTTCCTTTCCCTTTTCTTTCCTTTTCCTTCCAGAGACAACAGGAATGAGCATTCCAATAGAGCTCCCTGGTGGGTTGCAAATCCTCTCTACCCCAAGGGATTCACCAACCCTTTCATTTGAGCTCTTAGGTAGGGAAGCCAAGAGCCCAAAACCGGTCTGGGAAGTTTCCCAGTACAGCAATCTGGGCACTGGGCCTGAGACCAGATGCAGGAGCCAAGTTGCCTTAGTGAAAGGAGTTCCCTAGTCAGAAAACCAGTTTAGATTATACTTTTACTGATTCCCAGTGCTTGAAGGCAGAGGCAGAGCTCTAGGATCCATAGGACCAATAGGACAGAGCTTTCTGCCTTCACTCGGGAACCACAACTTCTAGTTCTGACCGTGTTCTTCCAAACCCTCTCTTCAACCCAGAAAGTCCAGAAATATAGCAACTACTCTCACAATTGCATCCTTCCAAAGGCAGGACATGCCTATTTTCTTCTCAAAAGCTTGGATTTGTTGACTGGGTTTTGTGCTTGTGTTGTTTATGCACACGCCACACCACACACGTGGAAGTCAGAGGAGGACCTGTGGGACTTTGCTATCTCCAGTCATCATACAGGTCAAGTATCAAATTCAGGTCATCCGGCGTGGTGCCAAGCACCTCTACCTGTTGAGACATCTCACCAATCCCGTATCTACTTTTTGAACAGATAACATATTAACATTTGAACTATCAAAACATTTGTGAAGCAATCTTTGTGGTGGCCATGTGGAAGTCAGACCATTTGAATGCAAGAAAGCAATTCTTGTCTGCACTCGCTCCTTAGAAAATATGGTTTGATTTGGCTTCTCGGAAATATAGTTAGGAGAAAGGTTTTTGTTGTAGATATGAGAGAGAGAACAGTCCTTTCTCTTTTGTATCTCTCTGTTGGTCCTCTCTTGGTTTTCATCTGCCCGTCCACCCACTCTCTCTCTCCTCTGCTCCTGCTTCTCTCTTGTCCAGATCCTGTCTGCTGGCCATGTTCAATCTATTATCTTCTCTCTCTGCCCTGGACTCTTCCAGATGAAAGGACTGGACTGGCGAGATGGCTCACTGATTAAGAGCACTGACTGTTCTTTCCAGAGGACCTGGGTTCAATTCCAAGCACCTACATGGCAGCTCACAACTGTAACTCCAGTTCCAAGGGACCTGGCCCCCTTGGCAAAGCACCTATACACATAAAAAAAGGCAAAAGAGGAAGGTTAGTTGAAATAGCAGGGCTATAAGGAGGAATGAGTAGCTAGAAGTAGGGACGCTTTTCAGCTGGAGGGAGTTTAGTGTAGGGGGAAAAGGTGAGAATAGCCAGCATGCCTGCCTGGAATCTGAAATGTATAACTTGTACCTGTGGTAATGAAGGAGAATATAGGCAAGCATGGGCTTTGGTATGCTAAGGTACCACAGAGAGCCATTTGCCCTTTCTGCCAGGGATAAAGGAAATGGCTCCTTTCAACAGAGTTGTACCAGTTTCACAAGTTCCTAAGGAATACTTCTGTATAGCCATCAGATCTTGAGAAATGGGAGTTTCCTTTGAACCTGACAAGCATGGCTCACAACTACCTGTAACTCCAACTCCAGAGGACTGAATGCTCTTTTCTAAATTCTCTGAGCACATACACACATATGTATATGCACATACACACACACAAAAACAATGAAATAAATGTTAAAAATAGTTTATATTGTTTCTTCAAGGGTAATTTTGATTTTTATACCTATTTGGATCATATCTCTTTGCCTCTATCTGTTCTCCACATATACCCACCGAATTATGCACCAGACAGTCTACCTAGTGTGGGCATCAGAGTTCTTCTGCTATTGGGAAGATCAGTTTGTTAGATGAAATTCTCTTGTGATTATAATCCCCTTTGTAGTTGTTTTCTCATAAAATGAGTCCAGATATAAATTAATAATTTCATTCCATCCATTGGAATCAGAAACTATAAATGATATAGCATTATTCAAATGAGAAGCTATTGATAACATTAAGTAAATGAAGCTGTTTCATCATCCTTAATAAAAATATAGCCACAAGTAAAATCCATAATAGATACCTGGAATCACTCTCTCTTCTGCAGACAATAGAGGCATTAACATGTTTGTCCAACTCAACCCAACTCCCAACAGCTTTCAAGTAACAAGGGCTTAGAGATAGACAAGACAAAACTGGAAGAGAATATGGAGAGTATTTTGGCTTCTAATACCGAACAGGGAGGTAGGTGAGACTGAAAACATTTTAGTCACCATTCCTAGCCATTTCTTATGCTTCATCAAGTTCTATTAGAACTTCCCAAACTTTCTTGGTTGTCAATATCCTCCTTAGAATCTCATCAATATTTTTCATGGTTCTCTATACCAATAGTAGTACCCAACATTTCCATTTATTAAATAGTTAAGTTTCCCCAACTCAGTAGGTATCATTATAAGCAGCATAGTTGCCACTTAAAATGGTATGAGAAATTAAGATAAAATCTTAATATGAATAAAATACTTTATTTCATTTTAAATAGCAACCTTTGGACATCAGACAACTTTTCAGACCTAAGAATCAGATTGGACATCACTCTTTTATTTTATTTCCTGATCCCCATGTACACACAGTACTTAATTTTCAATACTGCAAGCATAAAAACAATGGAGTACAACCTAATGTTAAACCTGTGTACTACCTCAAGCAAGCAGGTTATAGGATTCTTGACAAATGAAGACCATCACAGAGTTTTTCTTTAAATTTTTAAATACCCCCCAAATGCCCTGGGACTTTACTGTGGAACCCAGAGAAAACTGTAAACCCAGTGATTAAATGAACAGATCTTTGGACATTTTGAGACATAAGTTGTTCCCTTCCCAGGTCAAATATGTTTCCTTAGTTGTGTTCCAACGAAATTTCATTTGTTGTAATAGAAATGTAAGATAGAAGTATATCTATGTTATCCATAAAATTCCCGGAGGCATGTTTCACATTATAGCTAGAGAGAACCTTTTAAAAGTACACATCTAGAATATTAATCAGAATAAGAATCATTTAGCATATTGACAAGACTGAGTGCTGGTAAGGATGTAAAATAATGGCTTCTATCATATATTACTAGTGGCAATGTGATTTGGTGCAGTCACTTTGCAAGGATCGCTGTCATTATTTTTTAAAATTGTACAAACGTATATTCTTTGACATGCATTCCACAAGAATATTTTCTTGTACATTTTATGTATGGGGGTGTTTTGCCTGCATGTATGAACATGCACTCAGTACCTGCTTGGTACCCATGGAGGTCATAAGTGAGCACTGTATTTCCTAAAACTGGAGGTACACATGGTTGCAAGACATCATATGGGAACTGGGAAATGAACCTGGGTTTATTAAAAGAGCAACCAGTGCTCTTAACTGTTCAACCAAACCTCTGGCCCTCTACACCTTTTTTATGATCTGAATTAGAATAACTCTGGCACCAGCATGGTCATAATGGTATACATATTGTCTTAAACTTAGCATTTTTTTCTGATTTTGAGCTGACTAACATTTTGTTAGGTCTGAGTCTGCTTTTTGTATATCTTATAAAATGGAAGAGATCTTAGCAGAATTATGAGAAAGGCATGCAGAGCAACTCGAGCGTGGCAGAGACACAGGTGCCACACTGATCTGCTGTGAGACCTAAAGCCATAGAGTTTTGAAGATTTCTTTTCTCATCATTTGAACTTTAGAATTCAGAAGAGAAAATCTGTTGGCTGTGTGAAAGCCCCCTCTAGTATTAACAGGGTCTTGAAAAAGTGGATTTTTCTAATCTACAGATTCAATAAAATGCCCATTAAAATCCAAGCAAAATTCTTCACAGACCTCGAAAGAATGGTACTCAACTTCATATGGAAGAGCAAAAAACTCAGGATAGCCAAAAGAATCCTGTACAATAAAAGAACTTCTGGAGGCATCACACAATCCCTGACTTCAAAGTCTACTACAGAGTTACAGTACTAAAAACAGCCTGGTATTGGCATAAAAACAGACAGGAGGACCAATGAAACTGAATCAAAGACCCAGATATTAATCCACACCCCTTCGAACACCTGATTTTTGACAAAGAAGCAAAAAGTATCAAATAGAAAAAAGAAAGCATATTTAACAAATGGTGCTGGCATAGCTTGGAAATCAAAATGCAGAAGAATGAAAATAGACCCATATCTACCACCATGCACAAAACTCAAGTCCAAATGGATCAAAGATCTCAACATAAAGCCAGCCACACTGAACCTCATAGAAGAGAAAGTGGAAAGTACACTTGAACTCATTGGCACAGGAGACCACTTCCTAAATATAACCCCAGTAGCACAGACACTGAGAGAAACAATTAATACACGGGGCCTCCTGAAACTGAAAAGCTTCTGTAAAGCAAAGGACATGGTCAACAAGACAAAACGACAGCCTACAGAATGGGAAAAGATTTTTACTAACCCCACTTCAGACAGAGGTCTGATCTCCAAACTATACAAAGAATTCAAGAAATTGGACACCAAAAGATCACATAATCCAATAAAAAATGGAGTACAGACCTAAACAGAGAACTCTCAGCAGAGGAATCTAAAATGGCTGAAAGATACTTAAGGAAATGCTCAACATATCCTTAGGCATCACAGAAATGCAAATCAAAACAACTCTGAGATTCCATCTTACACCTGTAAGAATGGCCAAGATCAAAAACACTGATGACAACTTATGCTGGAGAGGTTGTGGGGTAAAGGAAAGACTCCCTGCATTGCTCATGGAATGCAAGCTGGTACAGCCCCTTTGGATGTCAGTGTGATGATTTCTCAGAAAATTAGGAAACAACCTTCCTTAAGACCTAGTAATACCACTTTTGGGAATATATCCAAAGGAAGCTCAATCATACCACAAGGACATGTGTTCAATTATGTTCATAGCAGCATTGTTTGTCATAGCCAGAACCTGGAAACAACCTAAATGCCCCTCAACCAAAACAGATAAGGAAAATGTGGTACATTTACACAGTGGAAAAAATGACATTTTGAATTTTGCAGGCAAATAGTTGAAGGTAGAAAACATCATTTTGAGTGAGGTACCCCAGAGCCAGAAAGACAATTATCAC